CTTGATTTTTGCCACAAAGTGTAATTTTTTGAAACTTACTTTAGATACAGAATGCTAAAAACAAATCAGCCAATCTAAGCAAATAAAGGTTATGAGTAATAAGTATTAATATTTGCAAATGGAAGCCTCTTGATAGCCAGATTACCATCCTGGAGATGGTGAAGATATGGCCATATCTGCCTTAGTGGAGAAAGTCTTCCCACATTCCTGAAACATCTTGGACAGAATAAAAGAATTTCAGTACATCAATCAATTAATTAATTAATTAAATTTAATTAAGGAATATGGATACTGTATAAGCATCAACAGCAGCTTAATCAGGAAGTATAAGTCCATCACTACCAACCAGCAAAAGGATGACAGCAATACTTACATAACAGTTAGATACAACCATATCTTAAGAAAAATATATAAGGAAACAGCTTCAACTAATGACAAAAATATCACTTTTAAAAGGAACCCAGAAGTATACAGCTTCCTCATAAAGGCAGAGAACCCACCAAATAAAAAACTGTCTCCCTGGAGCATATTGTATATTTATCGAAGACCATAGTTTGTACAGGGAACAAATATATCTACACCACATGGTCCCTCTCTTGGAGGTTAAAAAGCATGCCACATAAGGGCTATGGAGGTTAAAAAATTACCCTCCACAGCCCTTGCAGCCTTCAGAAACAAAAAATGATATCCACATCAATCTAGACAAAGCTATCATCTTAAAACCAATGTGGGAGTTTGCCGACATTAAACACTTTGAAAAAGTGGAGATCTACAAGGCATCCTGGAGATCCAAGGGTATAAATTATAAGGACCTATATACCATATCACAAGCCTGAAAGTAGTTATACAAAATACTCTAACATCGTTCCACTCTCCCACTATGGATAGACAAGGGCATTAAAATACTATTATACATCTTACAATATACCAATGTAAATTGTTCTGATAGCTTACAATTAGTTAAATGTATTATACCTTAGCCTACTAATCAATCATTTTTGTGTTTTTTATTTTTTTTTAAATATTTAAAGATTTTTCTAATTTCATTTAATAGTTTGAATTCTTCAAATTAACCTGAAGATGACCATTAAAGATGGTCAAAAACCTTAGTTGTTTATTATACGTTATTTTTGGTGAATTTTTATAGTGTTTGTTTATGATTTAATAACTATATCCAGTGTTCCAAACACTTATTTGAATTATAGATTTGTCTACTGCAGACATTCTCAAATTTTGTGTCTTGTATAGTGGATTTCATTTAACATTTATGGAACTCATGCAGTTTTAAGCATGTTACTATGGATCTGAAACCAAGAAATGAGGTAACTCTTGAGTTAGGGCTAATATGATTAAATTTAAGAATATAAAAATTAGCCTTTTATGACTCAATACTATAAAAATTGCTTTGCATAACTAAGGCATAAAATTATAATTAATTTTATAATTTGGATCAATGGTAAGAATTAAAAGGTTTGAATACACAAACTTTTTAAATGATTAAATTAAATGCATTTTGTTAAGTAATTTACCCAAGTACTTGTCATCTAGAGGCACTCTCTAACTACTTAGACAGCTTACTGCCTAACAGATATTTTTATTTTGCTTATCAACAAATGCAAAACAGTAAACTCATTGTTCAACATCAGCAAAACAATAATAACTGACAATGTTTGTGCAAAGTTTCAACTGAAAGATAACACAGCAAATAAAATACATTTCTGTAAATACAGCATTATTGTTATTAATTATAATTAATTATAACTGTCTAATTAATTAGTTTTTAAAACAATCTTACTGATAATCTGGTATATAAATATTTATACTTTAAATATAAAATTTAGATAATCAAATTTCACAATTAAAATTTACATCATTTCTATTTTTTCCTATCAATTTAATTACAGAAAAACTAAAATCTTCAAAGTAATCTTATGCAAAGCTTAAAAGTAAGTTTTTAAATCTTCAAAAGACTTCATTCTTTAATATACTCATATTAAAAACTTCATAATTAACGTAATTAATGCAATAAAGAAAATCTGCGGTAAATATTTAATATCAATAAAACATGTTTTTAAGAACAAAATAAGATTACTAAATTTGAAATTAGATATCATCAGTTTGCAAAGAACATCTGTTTATTTATCTTTGCTCTTTTTCAGCTTTCAATAAACAGATTAGATTACAAAAAAATCAGGAATTACAGACTTAACTAGAAATTCTAAAGGTAAATCATTCCCAATTCTTAACAATTGTAATATTCTCAGAAACATTACTTTAATCAGGTGATTGGAAAGTGAACAACATAAACTCAAGAAACCAATATCACATTATTAAATATTTGATAATATTTCTGTATGAATGATGCTAGAAAACAAAACTTTAATACTTTAACTTCAATTTCATTAATTTGGAATATTTATTTTAATTAAAATCGCACTCAATTTCAACCTCTCTTTACAATTTAACGATATCGACTCTAATTAATATATCTTTAAATCGACACTATTGATAATTTTTAAGCAAACCACTTGTGTTTTGGTTTGCCTTTAAGCACAAATTAAGAAAATAATCAATTAAATGCATTCAGAAATTAATTAAATCCAATAGGAACAGAATCATACAATTCTGGAATTTAGTAATTCTATCTTTTATCACACTGTTTAAACACTAAATTAAACAAATATTGGTACATTCTGGTATATATTTTAAAATGTTTTCTTAAGCAATACATTTGGGAAATGTAACAAAAACATATTCAACGAATATAAACATCAGTTTTTTAATGCTCCACGATAAAGCTACAACAACCTGTTTACTGATAAAAAAAATCCCAATAAAACTGATTTTTAAACTTGAATGTATAGGGAAATAAGGATAAATCTTAGCAATTATAATCTATTTCTGATAACACAGACCGGTTTCATTTTTTTTGACATCGCACAAGTAATTTTAATATTACTTAATACTATTTCAACATTATCATAATATCTTAATATAAATAAATATTTTCATAAACACTGTTAAATTTATAAAACGCACAGATTTTTAACAAAAATACAAAAAGATATGTCATCACTACAATGTTATATCAGTCATTAGATTAACTTAATCTCAAAGACAATTTTGCTGTCTTCAGAGTATTATTGACTTCCGATAATACAATTTTCTCAAACTATCAATTTTTACTTTTGTTTCTACAGCTTCTTGTTCTTATATTCTTAACTCCAATTAAGTAAAAATTTGTTTTAAAGAATATATAGAAATTTCGAGAAAATAGCGGAATTAATAAAGTTTATTTTTTTAAAAGATACCACAAAACTGGACGAGATTACAATAAAAACACCAACCACCAGCCGTAATCCAGTTAAAGCTAACAAATTTATATACGAACACGCCGTTTTTGTTCGTTCGTATATAAATTTGCCATGTAAATACATTCTTAAAAGCAAATTTTTAATTAATATATATATAAGTTTGAGTGTTAACCTATTTATTTTCAATAAATAATTCATTACATCATGCTAATTTTTATGTGACCTTCATTAAAAATTCGTCATATCTACTATCAAGTTTGTCAGCTCTTTATAGCTTTTGTTTACAATTGTAGCCTATATATATATATATATACACATTTATTTGAATAAGAAGAAAATAATTACTTAATCATGTTTTCTGAGTATATAAAACAAGCATACAAACTAATTATTATTAGGCAAACAACACAAAGCAGAAACATAAACAAACACTAGTATGTGTTATTAATTACCCATGTTTTTAACATTGAAAACATTTACAGTCGACCCCCCTATAACACTGTTGATTTTTCTGTTTTATATGAATTCCATGTTGTACGAGGCACTTAGATTTTACAAATACGTGAGCCGTTCACAGCCCGGCACATGTATTTGTAAAATCTAAGTGACTCGTACAACATGGAATTCATATAAAACAGAAAATTCAACAGTGTTATAGGGAGGTCGACTTGTATATATATATATATATATATAGTCTTTTTAGCATGTAAAAATCAGATTTATAATCCATATTGATAACTTTCTTCTATTAAAAGTATGTAAGATATTTGTTGTTTAATGATAATAAGATATTACATGAATTATTATAGTAGTAAGAGAAAGGAAGGAGCTTACTTTATCTCCTGGAATTCTGGATCCCATCTCAATTGGGAAGGCAGCTCACAGTATATGAAATTATCTTTGTAAAAGTATTCCAAATTATTTTTTAAACGCTATTTACACTGATATATTCATCTTGAGATTAAATGTAAACACACTTAGCACAGAATCACGGGAAAACTCGAAACCAATTTCACAATCTTCATGAACTAAATTGAATATGTAAGCAAATCAAAGATGGTTCCCTCTTTTTTTTTAAACTTATTCTATCTCTACTGGAAAAAACTTCTGCTTTTTATATTTACAAAATGCTACTTATTTACTCGTGTCTTGATTTAACAATTCCTCATTGTGTTTTTATAGGCATTTCTGTCAGTAGGTTCGAGGTTTCTGCGTCACTACCATACACTCCGCAGAATAAACATGGCGGATCATCCGCATCAAACCACCTGATGCATTATGGGTATGGTGATTGACTATTTTAGCGTCATCTGGTGTTGTTTTCTTGAAATACACGCATAGCATCCTTTACATTGCTACAACGGGTTACATTAAGGCCATTTATTATATAAATATTTGCAGAGCATTTTAAAATCATTTCTGTAATATCAGGATCATTAAAATAGTGTAGTAATTAAAGTGTGGTGGGAGGGAGTTTTCTAAAAGTATATAATTGTACACAATATGGAGGGAGGGGGATCAAAAGTCTGTACACGTAATTAATGGCTTGTTTTTATGAGGTAATGCCAGTTGCTCGACATCTATAATTTGCGTATTTGTTCGTTTCTGAGTTGATCTTTAAATTTAAAAATATTGAATGTTCGTAATAAAAGATTTAATTTGATGTAGAAAGTTCGACGTGATGCATTTGTTGTGACGTCATACGAAACAAACAATACGCTCCAATTGTTCATTTGTCTATTGTTGGTTACATTGTTTGAACAGAGATAACTCCAGTAATTCCGACTTTTCTTTGCTCCACTTCGACGTTTCTCACTAATATTTCGATTAGGAACTTATCTGTAAGGTAAACATTAACTTTTACATGTAAGATTTTCATTGAATTAAATTAATTACAGTAATTTATTTTAGCCAAATTGTCTTAGATATAAGCTTTTTATTTTTTTAAAAATTTCTATAATAAATGGGGTACCACTGTCGCCCTACTGTCTGTCCCTAATCGCGAGAACGGAGTTGGATAGATGTAACACGAGACCAGATATAGAAACCTTAGGGACAGAAGGCCCCAATTCGTTATATACGAACTTCCGGTCTAGACTGTAAACTATGTTTAATTGAACAAACAAATACAAAGAACAGTCGACCAGCGCAAGCCTTCTGTACTAGTTTGTAACATGGCGGAATCGGTACAAAAAAGGCGCGGGACGGTGTGACGCTCCCCTGGCACTTGAGAATAACAGTATAAAATTCACATTCCTTAACATATCCCCTCATTTCGATGTTTTTTTGAGATGTCGAAATGTATTCCTATGTTTCTGACATTTATAGTACTTAAAATACGTAAGGACTTTCTGTACATATACACTATATCCAGTTAGTCATATAACATTGAATTTCTGAATTTCACAAACTTCTCTTTTCCCAAAGCTTTCGTAAAAATGTCCGCAATATTTTCATTTGTACTGACATGTTGAATTGAAATTTCCTTGTTTCTACACAGGTCTTTGATGTAGTGGTATCTTATATCAATATGCTTAACCATCTTTGAATTCTCAAACGTTTCATCATAGAAATTGCACTTATGTTGTCAAATTTGAGGATTGAAGCATTACACTTACCAAATTATGACAAAATACCTTTCGAGTTCACTAACTACATATAAATAAAAGTCTTACTTCGACCTACAAAAACATAACTTTTCTAAAACTTCGTTAAACTTGTCATTCCAACATTTTGGTTCATTTCTCAAGCCGTACATTGCTCTATTCAATTTTAATATCCTTTTTCGACATTTAAGCCCTTCATTTTTTTTTTCTAGATGTCCGTTTAGAAAGGCAGTTGGGACGTCTATCTAACGTAGTTTCCAGTTATGCTGTACTGCCACAGAAAGTAAAATTCTAATTGTAGACATCCTACAGACTGGCTCATAGCTAAATTCTCCTCCTTCATAAGGTACTGTACTTGAACCATCTTGCCATTAATAACCTGTCCTTCCTTGCTCCGTCTTCTTTGGTTTTAAATATCCTTATTTGTCTATAGCTATCTGGCCTTCTGGCAATTATACGGGTGTCCACGTTTGAAGTTTCTGATGAGAATCTAATTCTTTCTCTAAAGCTTTCTTCCACTCTGCTTCCTGGTACGTTTTAGGCCTTTCTATCGATGATAACAAACAATATGCTGTATATAATTCAAAATCATTTAAATGGTAAGGTTTTTTTAATGTTTTTTCTAACTTTAGAATTTTCCATTTTGTCTTCTCTTTCATCCTTTTGTTCGCTGTTGTTATTGTTTCCTACTGTTCTTTCAACTTCTTGTTCTTCATCAATACTTGGTATAATTACAGTTGGAGAAATCAACCCCTCTTCTATTTGCTATGGTCTGGCTTTTTCGTTTTCTATATATTCCATACAGCCTTCATCGAACCGTACTGTATGTCTCGTGATCTTACTATCCTTTCTTCTGTCGGGATCCATAACCTATAGCCACCACCACAATATCCCACCATAACTGCACATTTTGCTCTTGGTTCTAGTTTATTTTGCTTTGGTAGGATGTTGTACGTACCATGCTCGACATACAAATATTTTTAGCTTGCTGATATCATTCCGTCCATGCCACAGAAGTGACGACGTTTTCTTTCTCCGAAGAGCACTTGTTGAAGATCTATTTAGTTCGTAGGCTGAGCTCTTTAATTAATGCTTCTCCCCATAATTCCTTTGGGATTCCCGAGTCAATGAGTTTTGTACGAATCATGTTTAACAAAGTGTTATTCATGCGTTTTGACTTCCTCCCATCTGTGGGCTGTAGCTCATAGTATATTCCAATAGTATGCCATTGTGTTTTGCAAATCCTTTAACCCGTTTATTATATACACAAAAATTTCTTACAACGTTTTGCAAAGTTGCGACTTAACACAGCTCGAGGAGAGAATGAAATGTCCACTCGAATCCAATGTTCAGTTGGAAGTTCTCCTTTCGGTCCCTCGAGACGTCACGGGAGAGCGACGGTATGTCCCAGGAGTCAACAAATAATATATTGCTGTTGATCTGCAAAATCGCAAAAATCCTGAAGTGGAGCACCAAGAACGTCACGTACTTGATTCGCGCAGTTTTATAAGTTTTTCCCCTAAAGCTACCTTTTCACTCGTCACCTGGTGACAATTCGAAACTGATCGGAGGGCGCGGGAGAGGTCATTTTCGCGACTAAATACGACTCTTCTCCAGCCACGTTTCCCTCGACTTTAGTCTTTTCTATTGTTTTAATAAAAACTTTCATTGTTTAATCAGGACATTTAATTCTCCATATTCGTGTCTGAAAATGAGCTCTATTTCTCGATTGAGTGGTCACCTTCGGACCTTCAAAGTGGCTCCCGTCTGGTACCTTAAACACTTTTTAGTTGGAGTAACTCTTCTGGAAGGATGAAATTGAAGTGCAAATGCTGTCGAATATATGTAGATGTAGAATTTTATTGCCAGTGGCGGCCTTAGGGGGTGGCGAGCAGGGCAATCGCCCGGGGCCTCGCTCTTGGAGGGGCCTCGCGCAACAACCAAGTAGAAAAAAGTTGATATTTAAAACTTATTTTATCCTTGGCTATTAGTTATAACAATAAAATAAATTTAATTTATAGTATAGTATATATTAATATTAATAAGTGCCTACTATTTCAATTCACATACTTTGCACAAAGGACAAGGGCCTCGCAAAGATCTGCCGCCCAGAGCCTCGCAATGGATAAGGCCGCCGCTGAGTATCGGTTTACTGTAATTCCATTAACAAAATGTCTGTTTTGTTTTCCCCTATCTGGAGGATTTTAGGATAGGACAACAGAAGCTAAAAAA